GGGGGGGCTGGGGTGGTGGTGGTGGTGGCAGCTCTGGGTTTGGGGGAGGCTTAGTGCTGCTGGGGTTGGGCTGTGCAGCAGGGGCTGACCTGGGCTCGGGCTGTGGGGTGGCCTCGTGCAGTTGAGGCTGGGGAGGAACTGGGGGCAGAGTTGGGCTTGGGGGGGGTAGCCCCGGCTCTTGGGGTGCTGTTACAGCTGGGATTGGACTGTGTCTTTGTGTGGGGGTACCTCTAGGCTGGTGGGGGGGGCTGGTGCAGGTGGGAGGAGCTCTGGATCTGGGGAGGGCTGGTGCTGGGTGTTGTGGTCACCCTGTTCTTCTGGGGCTGGGTGCTTGCTTGAGCAGGCTGGGGCTCAAGCCCTGAGCAGGGCGGTCAAGTCCTGAGGGGGAGCAGGCTGTGGTGGGGGTTGCCAAGGAGGCAGAGACTGTGTGTATGAGAGCAGGGATTGGAGGCTGATCAGCCTGTTCTGAAGTCTGGACAATTTTCAAGAGTTACAACCTCTTGTAACGGTTCTCAGTGGTTTTTTTTTTTTTCCTCCCTGACCTCAGGCTTGGTTTGGCTTTTGCAGCAAGGTGCTGTGTAGGGACATGCTGTGTTCCCCAGAGGTAGAGGAAGGGTAGTGGGTCAGTCTATTTTGCTGCAGTTCTGATTCTACCTATCTCTTTTGACAGGTGTGTTAAGTCTTGCAAATTTGTCCATTCTGTGCAAACAGTGTCCTCTTGGCTACCCCTGGGCTGAGATGAGCAGCTGTCAGAGCAAAGTTGAGCTCGACTGCCTGCTCAGGTGGTCATTGACATGGCTGATCTGTTCCAAAGTCAGCTTTGGGGTGTCTGCATCAGCAGCATGTTGTAAAAATGCATGAATGATTCGTACAAGTCACCTAAGATTCAGGGGGGTTATCAGCTTGGCTAATTTGCCTCTTTTAAAGTTTGTCGATACATGTGAAATTTGCATTTTGTGTTCCACAGCATTCTTATCTCTACCCAGCTTTTGTGGGATGAATATGTGGCTTGGTTCGCTTGTGGTAGAAATAAAATGGTTTTATTGTGCGAAGATGGTTCTTAATCCATAGCGTCTGAACATTATTGTCTTTTAGGAAGATCCGTCCCTGGAGAAACACTTCAAAGGCCACAGAGATGCCGTCACTAGCGTGGACTTCAGTCTCAATAAGAAACAATTGGGTAAATTGTCTCTCTGTTTTGATGGCCAGATGATAAAGAAAGAGCTTCTCTGCTTTAGTTAAATGGAGGGAGCAGTGGAGGTACTGAGCTCTACAAGAGCAAAGAACTTGTTTTCATGATGAAGAGATTTTGGAGAATTTCATTTCTGTGTGCTTTGAAAAAAATCCTGTTGTTGAACTATAGGGGTGGCAGATTGTGTCCATCCTGCTAGAGCTTTAGCGACTTCTACCGTAATTATCACTTCACATACCTGGCTTTACCATGCAGTCAACTTAAGGTAAAAACCTTACTTTTTCTCCTCCGTCTTCCATTTCTCCCCTTTAGACAGCTGCCTGTGGTTACGCCAAGGCTTGTGTCCTAGTTGCTATTCAGTAACCCACTGCGCGTGCATTGAGTAGGAACCAGGAGGGCTTTTGGCTCTTAGTGAAGTCACCATTCAGTCTGTGTGGCACGGTGAACATTGCTTTGGCTCGCAGAGAAGATAAGGCAGAAGCGATAGTTTGAGGCAATATACGTGGCAGGCAGTGGGTGCAGTAGGTGTGAATAAATAGAAATAGAAATGCAGCAGTCTAGCAGGTAGTAATCCTGTTCTGGATCTTGCAACCTACGCAACACTCTGGAAGCTGCAAGGAAATGAAAATTAATCAAACTTGTCTTGGACCCCCCTCTCTCCCTGCTGCTGTTTTTATTGTTGTCTGCTCTCTTTTCCTTTCCATTTCCTGTGTCTTCGATTGCAGAGCAAGAGTTCACTCTGCTCTGCATCTGTGATTCTGCTTGTGTATCCCTAAAACTTTACCCAGTCATTGCAGATCTCTGTTTAGCAAGGGTGCTCTGAATGTAATTTAGCATTGCTTTTGAATGGCCTTTCAGAAGTAGTACGGGGACCTTTCCCTCCATCTAGACCATGAAAAGGTTGCTCTTGATATTTTTAGTAAGTGAGATCAGGTAAGAAAGGGAACAAATTCTAAGAATTTTTTTTCCGGTTCTGTTGGGTGAGTCATGTGTACTTGCCTCTTATGAGACTCTCAAGTTTTTTTTCCCCATTTCCATCCCAAAAAACCCCCAACCAAACCTAGAGGACTTGGTCTTTTTATTCCATTAGATTGCTTGCCCAATCCAGTAATGACAATAGTTATTGCCAACAAGTCGCATATAAACAGTATCATACCAAAGTGCTTTATTGAGATGTCAGAGCATTGTTTTCCTGAAATTTTTTAACATCAGTCCTGGGGAAGCTGTGATACTGCAACTTAATATCCTTACCAGACAACGCCTTAGTGTAGTTATGACTAACATTCAAATCTCTTGACACTAGGCCGTGTGCTCAATCTACTTTTACAGTTGTCTCCCCTTAAATTTTTATATCACTAAGGAAGGATGTTGCCTATATGAAATATAAAACCAAACAAAACCAACAATTGAGCTGACAAATATCTAGGTTTTTTTGTTTCCCCTTAGGGGACATGCATAATGAATGATCCTGTTTGAAATGGGCATATATTAATCCCGAATCAATAGCAGGAAAAGAGGTGATTATTTTTGTGTTGAAATCACTGTGAAATAGAAGGATGTTTTCAGCAAAATCTAGTTGGTATTTTGCCATAACGCTAATGAACTGAAATATTCTTGTATTTGTGATACTGCTATATCAGAACCTACCATCAAACTGATCTTTTTTCTAGGAACATCTTAAGATCTCCCTGGAGATATGCCCCACTTGGCATTCAGGAAGAGAGATACAGATGCAGCTTGGGTTTGTTGGCAGGCTAAGATGTGTATATTCTGTATTTGCCTGTGGAAAATCTACAAAGTTTTCTGTTATTTAGGCATTAAAATTGATTTGAAGGGGTATTTTTACTGTCATTGTTTGAGACTAAGTTGCCACGGGCATATGTTTGCTCTTCTACAAATCATTAGGGTCCCAGTGCTGCAGACTTCACACAACACATCGGGCTTTAAGGGATGAGTAGCTCTTCAGTTTTCACTGTTCAGAGCTGGTGATGGGACCTGAGCAGGGGAGTTTTAGCGTGAAGTGGAATTTACTCTTGTGTTTGGGAAACCTTTTGCCTGGTATTCCTGGCAGGGACTGATATTGTTCCCGTCAGATAGGGAGGGGGATGTTGCTTGTATGGAGTTCAGTGTCATGGAGATGTCTGGAAGCTCTCATTTGAGACGTGCTGCTGTCAAGCTGGAGCTGGCCACTGCCTACAGCAAGCAGTGTGTCCTGCTGGGGATGCCAGGCAAAGAAGGGAGCCTTTGAAGACAGGATTGGTTGTGCTCGCAATGGATGTAGCATGCATACCTGAATTCTGCCTCCTTCTTGTGTGACCCTTTGCTCTTGCTGCTGAGGGAGATCTTGAAAAAGCAGCATCTGTCCTGGGGGACAGCTGCCTTCCCATAAGTAGAGTCTTTGCCCTCGGGGGTCTCTTTCTAGCCCTTTCTCTTCCTTCTTGTCTTTGGAGCGTGCCTTTGCCCTCTTCCATTCCTTTCTCGGAAGCCCAAGAGTAAAGGCAAGTTGTGGTGGTTGTTGGTTGGATTTTCTTTCCACAGGTGAGTATAGGCATGAGAATGGAAGAGTGGGTGTGAGTAGATGGAGGGACCTCATGTCCATCCATAGTTCCTTAAAGCCTCTCATGACTACCACCAAGTCCTGCTGACCCCTCCTGCTGATAGCAAACTGAACACTGCTCTAATCTCTTTGTAAGCTTGGATTTTTCATAAATTGTTAAGAACTGCTGAGCTGGCTTTGATCTATGTTTTGCAACAACGAGAGGGATGTTGGAGGGGGATGTAGCTGGGTTGCTGTTAAGTCGCCAGCTGTTACAGGGCTTCTCTGCTTAATCTGTAGTGTGTTCTTGGTATTTAATCTGCTGCAGCTAATAGCTGCATCTGCTTCCCAGTAAAAAAGTGATGAGATAACCTTCATCCACAGACCTTCTGTGTGTTTCCTTAGTGTGTATGTATTTGGAGGAAGTTTTGCAACTTGTGTGGCTTTTGCCTCTGCAGCTGTTGCATGAACTGACTCTTGGAAGTAGAATTGTCAGTCCAAGCCAATGCATGACTTTGTTTTGTTTGAATTACTAATGAAATATACAGTATGCAGTACACTGGTGAAGTGTAAAGGACAATGTGCTTGAGATTGCTGGAAGCTGTGATGGTGAACTGAGTGTGAAAGGTAGTTTCAGTGTAATTGCAGGAGAACTAATGCAAGTTTGGTTTTGTTTTGTCTTTTTATTTCAGCAAGTGGCTCGATGGATTCGTGCCTGATGATCTGGAGTATGAGACCTCAGATGAGAGCCTATCGCTTTGTGGGCCACAAAGATGCAGTGATGTGTGTTCAGTTTTCACCTTCTGGTCACCTGGTGGCTTCAGGCTCTAGAGACAAAACAGTCCGTTTATGGATTCCTAGTGTGTAAGTATCTATTCCCTTCTGTCTCTCCTTGTGTTTTAACTATGGATTGGAATCTTCCCCTTGCGTTTTGATAGCAGTTCTCCAGCTATGGGACTGGGATCTGTTTGAAGGAAAGAACCACCATTTTATGTGGCAGCTCTGACAGAGGAGAGGTAATTTGGTCTTGAAATTGCATTGGAAACAAAACTAAAATCCTTTGCAAAGCTTAAAGTCAGTATTAACTTCCTATGCTAACGTAACAAGTCATTAATGTAACTTATTAGTGGTGAATTACTGGATTTTTCTTCCCCTTCCTCTCCCAGTCTGTCTTTCCTCCTAGCAAATTGATCCTTTGCTTCTCTGCCAGTGTTCAGCAAGATGCTGAAACACAAGTTGGGGTTTAGTGATGGAGATACCTGTTCTGTGAGCAGGGTGGAGGTTACTAGCTTGCGTGCTTGCTGTAGTCCACAAAATGGTTAGGTACCTTTAATCTTTATTTCTTGGTCTCAAATTAGTAACTCTGTGTTCCACTGATAGTAAGTGGTGGTATATTATTAAGGTGAAAGACTACTTTGGATTGTGTATTGACTTTTTTGTGAGCTTGCATATGATTAACAAGAATTTACTTACCCTTTCAGTACCTTAGCGGTCTTAATGTATATTTATTAAGTTTCCATTTCTGAGTAGAGGGTTTAGTTGCCTTAAGTCATTAATGCCTGTCAAGTCCTTGACAATCATTGGCTGAGAGATCTCAGAGCTTCTATGGTTTTACTCTGCGATGCGTTGTTTTAAGTGATACGTCTTCAACAAGGAACACTTAGTTGAAATACAACACAAATGGGAGAGAGATGCAGAAATTCTGCTTGAAAACTTGCTGCAAGTAATGAGAAGCTTTTTGCAGCCGGGATGCAGAAAAGCAGCTGTCAGTGTGTCCTCTGGTCTCTTGGTTCCCACACTAAATAGTGGGATTGGTTTTTTTCTGAATGGGCAGGCATATATAAAGGTATCTGAGGTTCCTTTGCTTGTGAGGTTGTAAATTGCTTTTATCAAAGACTAAAGGATTTAGTTCAGCAGCAGACCTGATGATTGTGGTGGCAAATAAAAGGTATTTTAAAAACAAAACAAACAACAAAAAAACTCCAAACAAAACCACACAAAAAACCATATCCCAACTTTAAGATGAACATGTCACTTCAGGAACCTGGGAAAGCATTTCTAGTTGTTTATTTTTGAGTTTTTCTGGTTATGATTACCCATTGGAAGCTTTATTTGATGATCTATTAAACCATAAGTATCCTCTGCCGTGGAACTGATAGGTTCTGAAAGTGACTTTTTAAAATATGTGATAAAAGTGACTATTAAATGTCTATGATAATGTTTGCTAGAGTAACACCCTGGTCTAACTTAAAGTAGATTGATGTGCCCGTTTTCCCCTACCCATTAATCATCACGATGCTCACCTGAAACTATCAGAATGCCTGAACTCCTGTAAATGTAAATTCTTAGCACTCACTTTGTATTCAGAATGAGTTATGCATCTGGGGCAGATATGCTATTATTCACATGTGACAAAAGTACAGGTCCTGCTTTTTGGGCAAATTCCAACTTATCCTTTAGCTACAGAACTGTCTCAGTGCTCTCATAATGGTGGAGTGACTAAACAGTAAATATGGTAGAAATTGCATAAAGTTAAAACTTAATTTATAGCAAAATTAAAATATGCAGCTTGTAAATTCAATTATAATTCATTTCAGTTTAGTTAAACTTTCCTGGAAGAAATTATCACAATGACGTGTCAGCATATATATTATTAAAAGGCACAAGGTGAATTATGATTAAAATTTAACCTTGCGGCTCATCAATCTCCTGTGAAGAGACTAACACTGTCATTTTGCTATCTCCAGATCTGTGCTGCTGAAACAGAATGTTGAAAATAAATTACAGTGTAAACTTGTTAGATTTCTCAGAAGCTGAAGTATAAATTTTAAGAAAGGACCGGGATGTGATGGGAAAATGGAACTTTTATGTTTTGGGTGATTCTGTCTTGGTTAGGCATGTGAGCTCTATGGTCTAAACTGCACCTATGGTTGTCATGTCAGAAAAGGGCCAGTGTGGAAAGGGAATTGTTATTGTTATGCTGGTTGTGAATGCCTTGGTGCATGGCACCTTTAATCTGTGTTTATTTAGTATTCTTTGTCAATTTACCTTCTCTCGGGAGAACAAAAAAAAGTACTGAGGTTGAATCGGGTTTGAGACCTTCAGCTTGCCAGTTTTGCACTGTCGTTAAAAGGGAAGGGAGAAACTGCCCCATAGTCTGTTTGTGGGCCAGGACTTTATTTCCAAAGAATCTGAAAACTTGCAGTCCCTTTCAAGGGTGATGTGTTACTGAAGGAGTTAATGCTACACTAGTGTGTGTTTTGTCTTTGGGATTTGTTTTTTATAAGCCATGCTGACAGAATTTTGTAATTTCATGTTTCTGCATGAGTTTTTATCAGACTTGAGGATGTTCTGTGGTTTTGGACAGAAAGAAAACTTTCCTGAGAAGTAACCTTTACTATTCCTTGCCTTCTGGCAGCTAAAGGATTAAATAAAACTAGGCAGCTCTGACCTTTTCTGAGGAGGGAGGGAATATTGCTGGAAGATGCATAGTATTTTGATTTTTTTGGCCTTTACAGTTTTAGTAGTCCTTAGCCTCAGTATAAAGTCTGTTAAATCCTAACGGAGAAGGGAGCAAACCACCATGTCTTTCTGTTGTTCTCTTCTGTCTGAATATGGAGCTCCTGGTAGTACAGTATGTGCTGGAAATGTATTTTGGACCAAGAGTCTCATATACCTGTTGGATCTCTAACTATGTTGTGCTTTGGATCTCTAAATATGCCTTGCGTTTACTTGCCAGAAGAATGCCTCTTGCATTTATCTGGAAATGACTGGTAAAGAATAATAACAATACCTTGTTTTTTGTCTTGCCTGGCTGAGTTAATGGTAGCTTGCGCAAAGTTGTACAACATCAGGCATGCTGAGTTCAGTTGTGTTATTCCTTGTGTGATGCTGCATCGGAAGTGTTCAGCTGGAGCATGGGCCATTACAGGAATAGCTGTGAGGTAGTTGCCTGCTTGGCTCTGTCTAGATGAATGGTGAAAACATTTACCTCCCTCCTCACCTGCCTTGCAGCAAAGGACCTGGAAACATTACAGAAACTCAGCATCTTCTTTTATATTGATGTTTCCACAAATGTTTTAAATGGTTGCACAAATTAACAATAGTCTTTTTGCCCCTTTATAGGAAACATGGATTGTTTCCTGTTGGATTGGGCTCCAATATTGAACTGGAACAACTGGTTTTAGCTATGTATTCTGTGTAGCTCATGAAGCATGAGTTTGTTTGGGGTTGATCAACATTTTCTTCCTAATGTAAGCATGTGCAGTTCCCATAGAAATGGTGATTAATAGCATGGCTCACCACACAGAAGCTTTGTGTTTTCAGGTACATAATGTCTCTGCTGTCCTGTTGTGCAGTTTTAAAGTGTTCTTTCCTTCTGTATAGCAAAGGAGAATCTACTGTCTTCAAGGCTCATACGGCAACTGTAAGAAGTGTTCATTTCTCCAGTGATGGCCAGTCCTTAGTTACAGCTTCTGATGACAAAACAGTCAAAGTGTGGATGGTTCACAGGCAGAAGTTTCTGTTCTCACTTAGTCAACACATAAACTGGGTTCGCTGTGCCAGGTAAGTACAGCTTTCTGATGAATAGAGGTAGGGATTTATTCCTCAAAGCAGAGACTGAACATCATGGTCTTGTGCAGCACACTTCTATTCAGGATGATTCAAGTGTGTCTAGTGACTGAAATATGTTGCTGACCTGTGGAGAGATCCTTCAGATAATAGTTGTGTACTCACTTTGTGCTGCTTTGGTGAACTTTGGCAAGCAGAGACTTTCCTGCTTAGTGATTTGCTTTTACCTGGTATGGAGACTTTTGCATCTTGAAGTTGCTAAGAGAAGCAAAATGGGAGATTTATATTATAATTGTTATTTCAGCTTAGTTACTTTTAGACTTTTTATGCCTCTCAAAATGATCACCTGAGCTCCTTCCAAAATGCTGAAACTGCTGCCGTAATAAAAACATTATTATTTCCTGATAACTGTCTTGGATTTTGTTTTCCGTTTTCCATCTTGGTTGTTCTGAGTTTTTATGTACATATGTATTTAGGATAAAGCCACAGTTTCTCTGTAGGTGAAAAGTTCATTATAGTTCTTGAACGTGGTGGTGGCAGTGACTGGTAGTACTATAGATGCCCACAGTAGAGCAGAAAGAATGTTTTTCCAGTATGTATGATGATGATCTTTAGTTAGGGACTCAAGTCCTGATCATGTAAAATTATGCCTCTGAAGAGATGTATTGATCTCTGTCTTGTATATGAAATTTTGCAGTAAGAGCTTAATACATTCTTCTAAGGCACTAGAATGATGAAGCTTCTCTTGCTGCAGCCGTTATCTTGGGAGTAATTACATTGCTCTGAATGTTTGTGGCAAAGGTAGGAATTGTTTTGAATTAGGGTAGAGAAACAACTTGAGATACGCTTAAATGGAAACAAGTAGGACAGGAGATCTTAAGTTAGACTGAAGACTTTCCTGAGGGTTATTTTATGTGCTTGTGGAATTAGGGATAGTTTGAGGACTTTCCCTTCAAATGATTAGATTTTTTTTTAGTCTCGCTGATGCCATTAGGGATAGTTTGAGGACTTTCCCTTCAAGTGATTAGATTTTTTTTTTTTAGTCTCGCTGATGCCGGTGTGACTTGAGTGAGGTGTGTTTACCAACATACCTTGACAGCTGGCCAAATCCAGTTGACCCTGTACACCTTTTGTTTGTGGGCACTTCTTAATTGCTATAACTCTTGTCTTAGATTCTCTCCTGATGGACGATTAATAGTGTCAGCCAGTGATGATAAAACTGTCAAACTGTGGGATAAAACCAGCAGAGAATGTATACACTCCTTCTGTGAGCATGGGGGGTAAGTACCTGGCGGTGCACGAGGACTGATGTCTTGTGATTGCTGAAATGGTGATGCCTGGTGAATGTACACCTTGTTTTGTGACTGCAGTCAGAGGTCCTTGTCCTGGCAATCATTTCTACCTCTTAAAAAAAAAAAAAAAAATCATTAGCACCTGTTACAAAAGCAGCCAGCAGAGGATGAGATGCAAAAAAGCATCCAGAATTGCTTTGACCTTTTTATGACTTGTCCAGATTGGAACCTTGAGGCTTATATTTCGATAACTGTCCAACACGTCAAGCCTTAGTTTCTTTATGCTGCTTATTTTTGGAGATGCTTAACAAAGCTAGAAGAAAAAGAATTTAAGGTTTTATATTTTGCTCTGAGTTGAAGTAAATTAAAAGATCAAAAGTGTACTGACAGATTGGTACTTGGATGCTTTGTTTCATTCTCAAGTTTTTGCATACCAAAGTTATTAAAAAAATCTCAACCCACTTTGTATTCAGAAAACCAGCTGTTAAATCGGGATTTTTTCATGGAGAATATTTAGCCACAGCAAAAGTTAATTTGTCCAGAAACACAAAACAAATCCATAGAGAACAGACTGGAATCTTCCTAGTTTCTTGTTGCATTGAATTTTCAAGTACAAAGTTTTGTTCTTTCCAGGTAATATACAATGATATTAAGACAAATTCAGACAGCGTTATTTTTTCCAGTGCTTTTAAGAATATAACTTGTCCAAACCACCAATTGAAATATCTCGGCTTTCTCAGCATTTGTTACAAGAATACTCAAAGGGTAATTAATTTTATCCAATTTCTTGCATGGATTGGGTGAGGAGTTACAAGATGCTCTTCACTGAAAGTTCTGAAGGTTTTACTGTACTTGTGTGTTCAAAATAAGAATTGATTACGTACGAGTCCAGAAAGCAATTTGGTCTCAGCCTCGCTACCTTCTAAGTGGCAACATACGATTTCAGGCACAAATTCAGTAAGTTCCATCTTAAAATTAGTTAAGAGTAATAGAAGAAAAAATAGCTGTTCAGTCTTGTACACACCACTCTAGAAATCCTGTTAATTTAATAGCAGATGTATAAGCAAACACTTGAAAATGTTGTTGTGACAGTCAGATCAATCAGACTTCAGGAGGCTTGTATCTACAGCTCCTACACCTGTAATGCAAAATGTTGAAGATAGTATGCTTGATATAATCCTGCAGTCTGCTTGGGGTTATAAGCAAGAAATTTAGCAATATGAATTCTCAGGTTACTTCCTCCTTTGTGTAATGTTCAATGCATCATGATGTAGCTTCCCTTCTTGAAACGACCTTTTTGATCTTTAGCAAGAGTTGAATGTAAACAGTTGGATTTAACTGTAATTTACAGGTTTGTGAATCATGTGGATTTTCATCCCAGTGGTACATGCATTGCTGCGGCTGGTACAGATAACACAGTGAAAGTGTGGGACGTTAGGATGAATAGACTTCTTCAACATTATCAAGGCAAGTTAAGATCTTAAAAAAATCAGACCTTTCCACATTTTGATACGAATTGCTCTGAAGTCCAAGGACTGTTTCTCCATCACCTGCTGCTCTTCCAGAAAGGCACTGGCTTAGGCCTGCCAGTGGAAGCCTTTTTTCACCAAGCACCATGCCTGGCTTTCTGTTAGCTCCAAGACTGATTCTCACGTATTGGGGAGAAACACCTCTGTTCTGATTTCTTTCTCTGTCCACCATCAAAAAAGGCGAAAAAGCCCCAATGCTGACACAGTCTCGTGTCGTAGGTGTTATCTGCAATGCCACTTGGCTCATATTCACTGTTCTTGAGTAAATGATGTGCACTAAAAAAGATGTGGCCTTTGCCTCCGAATAAGCCTATAGGAGGAGTCAGATGCATTCCAGCAAAGCAAAAGGTTGTTTTTCATGAGAAAACTAGGAGAAGTTAACAAAAGAAGAAAATCAAAATCAACCAATTGCAATTCTATACTGTGATCCATGTTTACAGTTCTTTCTCCAGTGTCTCCTTTGGTTTTCAGCTTCCAGAATGGGCTTTGACCTTGTTATGACTTGTCCAGGTTGGCTTGTCCTTGGAGTAGCTAGCTTTTATATTTAGTAGTCTACATTTTTTCTTTCTTTTTTTTACCCTTACCTTCAAAATGGCATCTCCTCCCATTACCTGTTCTTGTCAAACTGATTAGTGCTGCCATTTGGTAGAACTGGATAGAAAAGGGTCCTTTCCCATCCCTGCAAGCTTCTTTGAGTTTGATTGTACTGTTTTGTGCATGTTAGTTGCTTGAGCCTAAACATGGCTTTTACTTCCTTTACTATTTACGATTTTTAGGGCTGCCGTAGTATATTTGCATATATACTCAAGCACTGTTTCCAGTACAGATAGCTTATTAAACTTAATTTTGTTAGCTTTTCTTGAAGACTGCTTCTGGCATGCTAGTAAAGCAGATCAGAGTTATGGGGCTGGAGCTTGGTGTATTGTTCTTTCTGCAATCCACATCAGATACTGTCAGTTCCTGCTGCGACAGCCTCACAGCTGAATGCCAGGCAGAAAAGACAGAGTAGTAAAATAGTTAGCAGTTGATTCCTGCTGCCTTTGCAAGTTAAGAGACAAAAATTGAGTTCTAAACTAAAGCAAGTTCTCTAGTTTCCCTTGATATAGAAAGGCAGAGAAAGTGTAGCGATATTTAAGGAGCAGAGTTCTTCTGTTTGTCTTCCTTCACAGCGACCTGTGAAAGACTGGGCCTCTTCTGGTAGGTAGGAGCAATGGGAGTTACTTATCTCGAAGCAAATGCGGATTGTCTGCAGAGAAGCTATTAAGATTATGGAAGTCCTTTGGGTTCCATAAAAAAGTAAATAAAAGGTCCCCAAAAAGAGGTTGCTGCGGAGTGGGAACAGTCTGTAAACTTTAGAATCTTTTTGTAATTTTGCTGTATATAGAGTGCTGTTCTTTTGCTTTTTGCATATAGATGGAAACACCAGTATGATCAGTTGATCTGACTGTTAAGCACCAATGTTGATACCACCATCATTGGAAAGAGTTTTTTCTTGGGTAGAAAAAAAAAAATTGTATTTCTAGCATCAGCTTCCTGCACCTGGGTTGTGTTTTATTCTGGCTTCTAAATGTGAGGTCCTCCTCTCAAGTGTATTTTCTCTGTATAGTCAAGTCGAGCACTCTTTGAACTCTTTCAACTGTAAGCCTGCCTGAGCTCCTCGAACTCTCATATAATGATTTATTTCTTCAGTTATTCCTATACTCCTATACTCACAATCACTGCCAGTTCTCTGATAGTTAACAATCTAATAGAAATCAAACCTTTTGAGGACTGTTCATCGGTATTGAGCATTACAATGATGAATATTGAAGTGTGACTCTTTGTGTAATAACTATTGTTAACTTGTGACCCATATCAAAACTTGGAAATGCCTTTCTGAAGTCTTGTTGCTAAAATAGGTAGCATGTTTAAATACTTGAACAGTATCAGATTGTCCTTTAACGTACTTTATCAGCTTTTCAACAGTAGTAAGATCTGCAGTGCGTGTTTCCAGCCACAGTATAACTTGGCTCAAAAATGATCCCTTCCTGCTTTCCACTTACTGCTATTAAATTGTCTGAATCTAATGTGGTTTAGATTTGGCTGCCAGGTTTATTTTTTGTCTTGGAGTTATATATTTCCCCTGTATCCCACCCTTACTGAATGGCATTTTAGTCTGACACCCTTGCTATTGAAGTGATCTTTTCCTGTTATGAGTGTTATTTTTAACAGCTACTGTGTAAATTCTAATTGTTTATTAAACTTTGGACTAGAAATAGAAGAAAAGCTTCTATAGGTATGTCGGGGATAAAAGGAAGACTAGGGAAAATGTGGGCCCCCTCTGGAAGGAAACAGGAGACCCAATTACCCGGGATATGGAGAAGGCGGAGGTACTCAATGACTTTTTTGCCTCAGTCTTCACCAGGAAGCACTCAAGCCACACCGCCCAAGTCACAGAAGGCAAAGGCAGGGACTGGGAGAATGAGGAACCGCCCATTGTGGGAGAACATCAGATTTGAGACCATCTAAGGAACCTGAAGGTGCACAAGTCCATGGGACCTGATGAGATACATCCACAGGTCCTGAGGGAACTGGTGGATGAAGTTGCTAAGCCACTATTCATCATATTTCAGAAGTCGTGGCAGGTGGTCACTGACTGGAAAAGGGGAAACATAACCCTCACTTTTAGGCAGTGAGAAAAGGAAGACCTGGGGAACTACAGGGCAGTCAGTCTCACCTCTGTGCC